ATTGGATAGTCACATGCAAATGAATGAAGTTGGATCCTTACCTCACACCATAAACAAAAATTAAATGGATCAAAACCCTAAATAAAAGTTGTTACCACATGACCCAGCAATTCCACTCCTTAAGTATATAATCAAATGAAATGAAACATATGTCCACACAAAAACTTGTACACAAATGTTTATAGCATAAATCATAACAGCCAAAAAGGAGAAACAAGACAAATATTCATTAAAAAAAATCCAAATATTCATCAACAGACACATGGATAAGCAAAATGTGATATATCCATATTATAGAATATTATTTGGCCATAAGAAGGAATGAAGTTCTGATACACACTACAACTTAGATGAACTTCAAGAACCGTATGCTAAGTAAAAGAAGCCATACACAAAAGGCCACCTGTGGGGGGCCTGGGTGGCTCAGTCGGTTAAGCGTCTGCCTTCAGCTCAGGTCATGATCCCAGGGTCCTGGGATCGAGCCCCGCATCAGGGTCCCTGCTCTGCGGAGAGCCTGCTTCTCCCTCTCCCACTCCTCCTGCTTGTGTTCCCTCTCTTTCTGTGTCTCTCTGTCAAATAAATAAATAAAATCTTTTTTTAAAAAAAAAAAAGGTCACCTGTTATATGACTCCACTGATATGAAATGTCCAGAAAAGGAAAATCCATGGAGACAGAAAGGAGATTAGTGGTTTTCAGGGGCTACAGGGAAAGAGAATCAGGGAATGACTGCTAATGGGTATGGGGTTTCTCTTTGGGGTGATGAAAATGTTCTGGAACTAGATAGAGGTGATGGTAGCACAACTCTGTGACTACACTAAAACCACTGAAATGTACACTTTAAAGGGGTGAATCTTATGGTCTGCTCAGCAGAGTCTGTTTAAGATTCTCTCCCACTCCCTCTCCTGTCCCTCCCCCTGCACGCTCTCTCTCTCTCTCAAATAAAGAAATAAATCTTTTTAAAAAGAAGTTTTATTGATTTAAGTAATCTCTACAACCCACATGAGGCTTGAACTCATGACCCCGAAATCAAGAGTCATGTGCTCTACTAACTGAGCCAGCCAGGAGCCCCTTTTTAGGTTTTGGATAATATTAATCGTAGCCATTTTCCTATAAAGAGAATCAGATGGCCAAAGCAGAATATACTGAAAGTGATGCCGTAAGAAAGAAGTTACCTGAACAAGCTAATAAGAGAGGAAAGGAAAGTCTTCAAAAGATGTCCTCCCCAAAAGACCAACTGGCTCTGATAGATTCGCTGATAAATTTTTCTAAACTTACAAATCAAAAGTAATCTACATGTACAGCCGTGAAAATAAGGAACCCACCCAATGACCAAGTAGGACTCTTCTCAACTAAACAAGATATGCTGAGTTATCTCAATATACACCCATAACGCACTTATAAATATAACTGTCCACTTATGATTAAATGCTTCTAGTTAAATATTTCAGAATAAGGAAAGGGAGTCCTTTTTTTAAGCAAAATCTACCACCTTCTGAAGTTCTATCACACGCCTAAGCTCTTACAATTCTTACTGCCCAGGCAGCCCATCTTAGCCTCCTCTACACTAGTTCACTCTTGAACTAGTTACTTATTAGCAAATCTGATCACATTTTGCCTATGTTCAAAATACTCCTGCAATCCCCACTGCTTAAATAAAGAAGTCCTGGCCCCTTGACATGGAACATAAGACTCTTCCTTCAACTGGGTCATCCTGACTGTCCCCAGGAAGCCATCCCATCACACTAGACAACTTAGAGATCTACTCACAGGAGGCCTTATTGTACCACCACCCAGACCCACCTGGCAAACTCCTAATGTCTCTCGACACCAGGCTGAAACACCCCTGTAAAGCCACAGTAACCAACCACCACTCCAACCACCACTTTCCATGAAACACAACAGTATCTATCAAGAAGATACACCAGTGCTCAAACATCTTATCTGAAGTTGTAACACCAAAGTCTCAAATTCTACACCCAGCCTAGGCCACCATCATCACTCACCTCCCACAACCATATATCCAAACAGTCCCAACAGCCTTCATCACAACCAAGGGTCTCTTGGAAATCAGAAGCAACAACCAGAAAGGCTTTAGCAGCTGCCATCCTCCATCTCATGTCCCCAGTGGAATACATGCTTGTAGCTTCAGGTCCAAATCTTTATGAATGATGATACTTTCAGTTTTGGAGAATGTATGCTCATTAAGCCTCCCACACACATACCAAAAAAAGCAACGCCAGAAAATGGAAAGTGCCAAAGGGGATTCTGATCTTCCAAATCCAGCATTGGGATGAACAGTAACAGGCCCACCATCATTCCTAAGAGGAATGTCTCCCCTCTACCCCTACATCTGTCCTGTGCTAGGTCTTCCCAGCCATTCAGCCAGCCCTGTACCCTGGGAAAGCCAGACGCATCCATTCTTCCTAGGGAGAATCCCTATCTAGCTGCAATCTGATTCCTACTTTCTACCTTAAGGAATAATCAGGGAGATTATCAGATATGGCAGAAAGGAAAGCCCTCAGAGCTCGCAGGCAGACTGAAATGAAAACAGGCATAATACCCACAGAGGCCCCTTTCTCCTGCTGAACAAGAGATGCACCACTCAGGATGTAAAAAAAAGTGCCAACTCTCCTGATACGTTAGTGTGGGAACTAACACCTCATCCACTGTCTCCGAGCCCCTTCTCCTATAGGCCCACATCTGGGCCTGGACAGGGTCTGACTGCACAAGGGCCCCACATGGACTTCCCTACAATGCTACATTCATGACATCAAAGCACATGACCAGCAGCTGCCCTCCAACTGGCCCGGAGGGGGTCAAAACCCCATCTTACGAACGAGTCAAACAGATCTGGCCAGCTCCACATGGCTCCATCTCAAAGAGATTCAGGTCAGCCCAGGTAGACCTTGAACCTCCCCCTCCCACTTCATCTGCTCCACTCTATGGATCTCAAACCAAATGAGCCATGCAAAAAACGGTTCTTACTAAAGAAGGATGAGTATGTGGAACTTAGAATACCAAGCCAAGCACATGGTAAAAGGCTATATTCCAAATCCACCTGAAAGACAGATGTGAGGACTCCTTCATACAAGGCATTGGCTTTTGTTTATTTTGTTTTAATTCTATTTATACTTTTTAAACAAATAATATGTTCACAGGAAAGAAAATGTGAAAACTTTGAAAGTGAAAAATCTCCTTCCCAGTCCTATCCCTAGCCACCCTGTCCCTTCCCAAGGGATAGCTGATAGTACAAGTTTTTCTGTAGCTTTCCAAAGATATTCAATGCATGTACAAGCAGGTACAGATATGTTCATTTTGCCTTTTTTATTTTTGCACATTTGGTAGCATATTATACACTGTTCTATGCCTTATATTTTCTACTTAACAATATATCCTAGAGATTACTCCAAATCAGTACCTAAAGAACCTCCTCATTCTCTTCACGGCTGCATAGTATTCTTTTTTGTGGATTAACAAAAATTCATTTAACCAATGTTCAGGGTTGCTTAAAGTGACAGTTAATAACAGATTATAATAGTTACTTCTATATAATAAGCCTCTTTCCTCTGCCACCAAAGCAGTGCAAAAGTTCAAAGAGCACATTTGAAGTAAGAAAAAGATTAAGGGGCACCTGGGTGGCTCAGCTCGTTAAGCTGCCGACTCGATTTCGGCTCAGGTCATGATCTCAGGGTTTTGAGATCGAGCCCCTTGTCCCTCTTCTTCCCCCTCTGTCCCTTCTCCCTGTTGCAGGCATTCTCTCTCGCTCTCAAATAAATAAATAAATAAAATATTAAAAAAAAAAAGATTACAGCCACATGCTACACAAAGAAGCCAAACATACCACACATATCCTGATTAATAACTAAAGGCCAGTTTTCACTCAGATCAAAGCTGAAAATTTTCAGACTCCTGACAATTAGTTGAATCCTGAGCAAGTCTAGATTTCAAGTACTTGAAATTAGTCAATTAGAAAAAAAAAATCTGAGGGGCGCCTGGGTGGTTCAGTTGGTTAAGCAACTGCCTTCAGCTCAGGTCATAATCCCAGGGTCCTGGAATCGAGCCCTGTATCGGGCTCCCTGCTCAGTGGGAGGCCTGCATCTCCCTCTCCCTCTACCTGTTACTCTACCTGCTTGTGCTCGCTCTCTCTCTCTGTCAAATAAATAAATAAAAAGAAAAGAAAATCTGTGACTGATATTAAGCATAGATGGGAAAAGATGTAACGTTGAAGTGCTGCTCTCTCTTTGGAAAAGCCAGCTGCCTTCTCTGTGTCTGAGGCACAAAAAGTAGAGAGAGCCAGGGCAAAAATACAGGGACTTTGCCTGCCTTCATGGCGGTGCCAGGGCATCTTGCACCATGTCACTTAGGCCACTGAAGGGAGAAATGGACTTAGGACCATCTTCTGGAACTCACCAGCTTCTGGTGGAGGCTTCTATCCCTTCAATTGTACACAGCCCAAGACTGGGCATGAGCCACTGGGCAGAAAGCGGCTGAAAGGGTGCCTGGGTAGTAGCAGAGGACCATCTGCAGGGTCCAGAGATTCCACAAATCTGAGGTTGCTGACTGCCAACCCAAGTCTCGCACACTTCCTATTTATTAAAAAATCACCTCGACCATGTTCCAAATGGGAGGCCACTTAAAGACTGATGGTTAATAATGGTGAAGTAACAGAGAAGCCAGGGTTGGCAGGAGCCTTCTTCTCCATATATGCCGGAGTCCCAGACTGGTCAAAGGCCAATGGGAGTAAGGGCTACTAAGGCCTATCTCCACTAGGAGCAAGCTCAGGTTGGTTTTGACTGCAAACAGTTCAAATTCCAATTAATTTTTGGAATGGAAGCCCATACCATTCCAGCATGGCCACGTTTTAGGATCTTCCACCCAATGGCCTGGCTTTAGGTAAGGTAGTCAGCAAAATTCCCTCCAGCCTCTTGGCTGCCGCCATGATTCTCATCACAGAATGGATCAGAAGAGCAGAACAAATATTCTCTTAACCGGTGACTCACCAGGAAGTCTGTTCATGTTGACGCCTTGAGCTGAGAGTCCTATTCCCATGTACCTTCAAAAAATCACACACAAAAAATTTTTGGTTAGCAAATGATTATGCATCTCCCTTCTAAAATATTTCTTGGTAAAAGAAAAACAGGAAAAACAATGAATGTAGAGATTCTTAACACACTAGTGGTTCTTGGAGAGCCTTCACATTTTGATTTTCTAATGAAAATCATCTCAATGCCTTAAATAGCTGGAGAAACAAGAGGTAGTGTCTGTAACCAGGAACTTCAGTTTCAGACTAAAGTTTCCTGAAATCACTGCTTCCAGTCCTCCCTTGGTTTCTGGCTCCGGCTAAGGCAGCAGAATCTATCCTCAAGAAGTACCTAAAGTAAGTAGCTGAATCCTAAGTAGTACTTGGCAGAACAATGCAAGATCAAGCTCACAGGGACAAGCCACTCTTCACCAAGGACCAAGACACGGAAAAACTACAGCTATATCTCCTATGCTGTACTTTACATCTCTAATCCAGGCCCATTTTAAACATTTTTTTTTTAAAGATTTTATTTATTTGACAGAGAAAGAGAGAGCGTGAGAGAGAAAAAGAGAGAGCACAACCGGGGGGAGGGGTAGAGGGAGAGAGAGAAGCCGATCCCCTGAGCAGGGAGCCGGATGCGGGATTTCATCCCAGCACCCTGGGATCATGACCTGAGCCGAAAGCAGACGCTTAACTGACTGAGCCACCCAGGTACCCCCACACAAAATGTTTTTTAAAGTAATTACATAGGGTTGCCTTCTTTTGACCATTCCCAAGTGGCTGCACATTTACATTCCAATTGTTCCTGTTGTAAATGATTCTGCAAGGAACACTTCCGCATACATTTCCCCATCTTGGATTATTTCTTTTTTTCCCCCCGACATGCTCCATGAACCTACATTCCTGTTTCCTAACACTACCTGAGTTCCCACAACATGGTGCTCCTGTCTCTGCAAGTCCTTAATCTAAATTTTTTTTTAAATGTTTTATTTATTTATTCATGAAAGTCAGAGAGAGAGAGAGAGAAAGGCAGAGGCAGAGGGAGAAGCAGGCTCCCCGCGGAGCAGGGAGCCCGATGCGGGACTCGATCCCAGGACCCCGGGATCATGATCCGAGCCGAAGGCAGATGCCCAACCATCTGAGCCACCCAGGCGCCCCAAGTCCTTAATCTATAGTAAATGCCCCTTTGTCCTTGTCTGGCTGGCTGTGCCACTGTGTTTTGGGGGAGCAGCCTCTACCATCCAAATAAAGGATCAGACAAGGAAGGAAGGCTCTGACCCACACATCTTCCTCTGAAACCAGCTACCCCATCATGCTGGCAGGAACCAGGAAGACACCAACACATGACCTTGATAACTTGGCCTGCAGGAGTTAGGGGAAAGAGGGAAGGGAAAGGAACAGCACTTCAAAGAGGGACTTGCAAGGTTCAAAACTGCCTGCGACCTCCTGCCAAAAATGGACCTTGAAGAAGCATCAGGGGCAGAAGCAGTGTAAGCCTGCTGGCAGGATTCCCATTAGATTAAAAACTGTACTTTTTCCCAGAAAAACAGCAGCCCAAATAATCAGCTTCCTTACTTCACATGGTAGAGGCTGCCAAAAGCTGGTCTCCATTCTCTTAATGTCTCAGCTGACCAAGCAGCAAACAACCTCAACTGCTCTGCAGTCATCAATCAACATAGTCATGTACAACATAGCCAGGGGTTTCCCTGACTTGGATGTCAGCCCACTCATCCTGCCCTGTTTGGAGGGGCCTGAGTCTCTGCCCAATACCACATGTGATCCTACCCTAGCATACAGGTTTCCTGACACTAAGATGAGGGTTTGTGTTTAGAGCGCATGTTTCCCGGATGACCCTTAACCACTTAAGGTTAATGCAAATAGGGAAGGTCAAGCAGCTTGGCCACCAGCAACAGGGGTCTAATTCCATAAATTTCCATGGGAATGAGGAACTAATAAGGCACATGTAACTCAAACACAAGTAACTTCTACACAGGGGAAGCCTTTTCCACCTCCAGCAGCTAGCCCTCAACACCTTCTTATAAACTCTCTGCCCCATAGGTGGGATAGTGTTTACCAGTGGATGGCCTGGGAGCCTTTACATAAACCCTAGGGTCAACTTGTGAACCCAAGTGGATGAGCTAAGGGTAGAGCACCCAGAGGAGATCCAATACCCACACTTGGGTGCCATGTCACCTGCAGGTGTCAATGATACAGGGTGCAACCCCACAGGAGCCTAAGTTGCATATTCATATGAAATTGGAGTTGAGTCAGTGTTCAAAAGAAATGAGTCCCAACTCTTCTAACAATGGGTGACACTATCTCTTCCAAAAGTATGATGTTATAAAATTACAAAAACTCACAGCCTTCTACCTTCCAGCACGTCTTTATGCACTTGAAAACTATTATCCAACCAGTCTGAGATAAGCAGAGAGTAAAAAAGCTATAAGGACCCCATGAATATACTAAAAAACATTGAATTGTACACTTTAAGTGGGGGAATTGTATGGTATGTTAAGTTACATCTCAGTCATACTCAACAAAGTAGAAATAAAAGACAACTGTCTCAACATAATAAAAGCCATATATGATAAGCCCACAGCTAACATCATACCCAAGGGTGAAAGACTGAAAAACTTTTCCTAAGATCAGAAACAAGACAAAGATGCCTGTGTTTGCCACTCTATTCAACAGAGTATTAAAAGTTCTAGCCGGGGTGCCTGGGTGGCTCAGTCGTTAAGCGTCTGCCTTCGGCTCAGGTCATGATCCCAGGGTCCTGGGATCGAGTCCCACATCGGGCTCCCTG